AGATGGCAAACAATGGAAAAAAAAACATTTCAAAGCACTACGGTGTTATAGTGGAATGCAGGCCAGTGCATGCTTAGAAAACTCACGTCAGAGAGAGTCTGGGCTGGGGTAGGGTAGGCGTATAGAGAAAAACTATTTCTTTGAAGGTGAGGAAGGCTTCCAAAGGTATCACTAACACTTGGTCCAGGCTTTGTAAGATAGGCAGGAGGTAATCAGACAGCCAGAGAGTTGAGCAGTACAAAAGCAGATCCAAAGGAAGAAAGAATCAGACAGTGAGGTCTTCTGCAGAGCTGGAGTCTAAGGATGCATAGAAGACTGTCAAGGGTAAGGCCAAGAAATAAGCAGAAACCAGGGGTTATGACATGCTGCTCTTAGTCCCAGCATGTGGGAGGTAGAGGCAGGTGGAGCTCTTTAGGATCAGCCTGGTCTACAAAGAGAGTTCCAGGATAGCCAGAACCACACAGAGAAACGTGTTCTTGGAAAATGAAACAAAAGAAGAAGAATAACAAAGAAGGAGGAGGGTAGAGGAGAAGGAGGAAGAAGAATAAGAAAAGAAAAAGGGGGCTGGAGAGATGGCTCAGTGGTTGAGACTACTGATTGCTCTTCCAGAGGACCCGGGTTCAGTTTCTAGCATCCACATGGCAGCTCACACCTGTCTATAACTCCAGTTCCAGGGGATGGGACACTTTCACAAAGATATACATTCAGGCAAAACACCAATGCACATGAAATAAAAGAAATGCATTATTTAAAATAATAATAATGAGAAGAAGAATAAAAAGGTGGCAGAGACTAACTAAATCATGGAGGACCTTGAGTGTTATGCCAAAAGCTTGTGGTTTATCCTAAAACAATGGGGGGACCTTGGCCAATTTTAGTCACAAAAACTGTGTCTTGTCTCGTGAACAATCAAGTACTCGAGAAAGGCTTTGATAAATCCATTCCTTCTGAAGCATAATCGACTGGCATAAAATGAAAGTCCTTGTAGGTAAGGAAACCCAGCTTTAGGGGGAGCTGGCAATGTGAAACAGAGATAGGCATGGTATTTGCCAGAGGAATGAACATCACTGTCCTCAGGACTAACCTTTGCTTTAGGGAAAGAATTAGCTCATTTCTTAGAGAATAAAAGTGGTTGGTAGATACCCTGGTTTGTTCTCACTATTCAGGCTGCTCGTTAGAATGCCAACCCCAGTGCACAGCTGGCACTGGTTTGGAGAAATTGCACCCTCTTGAGGAACAAGGATGTGTGGTTTTGATAGGGCAGCGAGAAACCACTTCCAGAACTTTGGCTGGTTTCCTTTCCCCTGAGGCCCGGCCAGCTTGGGGGTGGAGTGTGCTGATTGTTTATCTGTTTCTGAGTCTGGCCACCCCTGAGAACAAAGTGGCCTGGCTGTAGGAGGTGGCAAACAGCTGGGAACTTCGGATCACAGCTGGAGGTGGCAGATATAAGGGCTGGCAACCGTAGACACAACAGTTGGAGGCGGCAAACACAACAGCTGGAGGCAACAAAAAAGCTAACTGGTAGCCAAAATCTCTAGAGCCCTTGACTCTGGGCTCTCAAAGCGCAGTCTTCTCTGTCTCTGAAGCTCCTCAGCACAGGGTACCAGTTTTGGACCAGGAAAAAGAAGACCTGGGTTTGGCTTTTCATTTACCCCTAATTTGCTTGAAGTGATTTTTTTTTTTTTTTGAGCCTTAGTTTCTAACGATGCCTTTCCCATCTACCTCATGATGTGGAGGTCAAATTACTTATTTTATAAAGTAATAATCATAGGTTATTGTTTTGAGAATAAGATAGGTTGTTGAGAGCCTCCATTCTCCCTGATATGCAGAACCTCCTCTTAACACAAACCTTGGTCTTGGATGAGAGACCAAGACATTCCGGTCTTGCCGGAATGTCATCAGGGACAGAGGTTTGGGGGGGGGGGGAGAAATCCTGATGCTCCCCACAGGTTTGGCTGGAAGCCTAATCTTTCTATATCCACACAGCGCTTTCATCTCCTCTGAGAGGAGACGAATCTTCTGAAAGGACTGTACAGCTTCTCCATGAACATCCAGGAACAGCATGTTCTCCACCTTTCTAGGGGCTCAATCCTGATTACGCAGTGTTCTGTTTTAATGTAACTCTGGAGTCTTTCTCCCTATAGTTTGAACTGTCCTGTTTGTTCTTGGAGCTCAGAAGACTAATCTGAACCTTTTTTATTCATATGCCAGCCCCTCAAACCAAGTATTTTGCACACATCCGTTCTTTCTTTCAGAACATCTCTTCTCTTGACAAAATCCATCCATTTCGTTTCACCATTTCCCACGTAATCTAGTATGGATTTTTTTTTTTCATATTTCGATTGCTGCTTGAGATGGAATACTGAAGATGTGGAATGAACAGAGCAGAGTGGAATCATTTACCTCCTTATTCTAGAGACTTCATTAAACCAAACTAGCTTAAGATTGTATTGCTTTTTGGCAGCCAAAATATACAAATAGCTCATACTGTATTTTTTTCTAAAATGTTTAGATATCTTTTCCTCCATGATAATGTGACTAAATTACATCTTCATAATCTTAAACCCTCCCAGATACTTTTTGGACCCAAGCACATAATCCAACATTTATCTTTTTTTTTTTTTTTTTTTAATTTGGCTCACTCATCTATTCTTTTTAGATCCCAAGTCTGCCCAGTCCTTGCAAACTGTCCCAGGTTTGTGTTATCCACATAATTGATGGCCACAGTGTTCTCTAGTTTTGAATGAAATTAGTGTTAAGATCATTGAATAGGGCAAGATCAAGGATAAATCTCTCTCTACATCAATAGAAAATGAATTTTAGCTACTTGGATCTACTCCCCAGCACCACTGAATTTTTATGACCCTGTAATTACCTTTTTAGTCATTTTTCTCTATCTTATCCCCAAAGATATAATGATAGATTCTTGTCAAAAACTTGCTAAAGTTTTTTGATAATAGTTCTACATTATCTGTATTTTGATTTGTCAATTTAGTTACTTCATCATAGAAGGAAATTAACTTATTTTGACATAACTCATTCTTAGCAAACCCATAATGAGTTTTACCAACAACTTTTTTTCTTGTTCTGTCTAGTTATACATAATCTTCGTATTTTGTTTGAGAATCTTTCCCGGGATAAGTACCCATTTGTCTATAGCTTATGAAGTATTTTTCATTTTTATTTTTGAAAATTAAAATTATATTATCTCATCTCTAACTGTGCAGTTCTTTTGTTCTCTAACAGTCCTCAAAAATTTCATGTATTAGGTTTCACATCATTAAGAATTTGAGGATCACACACACACACACACACACACACACGTATTGTGATATTGAACACACTTTTGAGTATTGAACAGGGCTTTATTTACATTCCAAAACTGGAATTTTTCAGAGCTACAGAGCTTCCTCTTTTGCTTCAAAGGAACCAAGGCCGTTGGGCAGTGAAGAGCACCGGGGCCTGGCTGAGTAGCAGCCAGATAAACGTTTCAAGTGCTCACCAGGCTGGTACATCCATAGGCAGGCTGGCTGCCTCTGAATGTTCTCAAGGACCCACATCCATTGGTGATCTTCCATTCAGTGCCTGTGTGGACAGGGGTTTATGGGCAGACTCATATAATGTAGACTCCTCCAGAGGCAAAGCAATGGGGGAAATGAGGGAGTGTGATAGAACAATGATGAAATGTAATAGTTCAGACGTATGGAGTGGGGATGCAACATGATGCTCTGATATCCAGAGAGCCCCCAATCCCAGAAATCATCTTAATCCTTCTCCAGAGTGTCAGATGTCGGACTCATAGTCTAAGGTATTATAATTTTCTCTACTGGAAAAGTACAAAGTTACTTTTGGGGCAGGGATGCCAGACACCTTGTATTACATGAATTGTCTCCTGTTTCAATGCCTTGTCCCACTTTCTACTATCAGGATGGACAGCAATCTTGAATTTGAGCCTGTGCAGACATAGCTACTAAGATGGAGTCCACCCTCACTTCAGTCAAGACAGTTTTGCTGCCTACAATCTAGACTTGCTGCCAACCCGTGGGGAGATGTCTTGGTGCTGGCAGGATGCTGCAACCTGTTGCTTTCTTTCTGCTTCCTGCTTTTGCTCAAACCTTGTCTGTGCTCTCTCTAACATCAGCCTAGACCCTGACCCAGATGTCACGTCTCCTAAGTAGTGTAAAAAAATGATGATGATAATGGCAGCAACTGAAGAAGACTGGACACTTTGAAGGAAAAATGGATTCCTTCTGCTCTTTTCTCACCAATGAGCATTAACCTGGGGCTAGGAGGGAGCCTGGTGAAGTTAAAGGACTGCCCTAAGATTTCAGTGGAATATGCTTTTTTGCCTTGATAGTCGTCAGAAAGGAGAAGTTTTATTTCAAATTAGTTATCTCCACAGGAGTGGTGTGTGTGCGTGCGGGCGCATGCACGTGTGTGTTCAGTGGGGATCAGCAGTTCTTGTCCCTCTCATGCCTACTCTCAGGGACCTGTGCACTTCTCACTCTTTCTTCTCTGCCCCACCTCTTCCTCAAATCACAAACGTTATCACACTGTATCGCAAGTATTTGTCCCATTCACATGTGTCTTCCTCACTAAGCTTCGAGTTCTTAGCCTGAATGATGTCATTTCCATCTTTTACTTATCAGCACCTCATGCTGTGGCTGGCATTTAACAAGGGCTCTACAAATATTTGCTAGGGTAAATGGCATCAAAAGGAAAGTGAGGGGCTGGCAAGATGACTCTCACTCAGCAGGTAAGGCATTTGCCACCAAACAAATTGAACCACCGGAGTTCAATTCCCAGAACCCACATGGTGGGATAAAACAAAATCTTGCAAATTGCCCTTTGCTGTGACACTTAAGTACAACCCCCACACATAAATATAAGAATTGTTTTTTTAAAAGGTATCTTAGTTAGCTTCTCTTCTTACTGGGGAGTATCTCGGAGTTGGCTGGACTTTGGCAATAACCTCCTTTGTGCTGTCTTACTCCCTGCAGATGACATCCGTTGCTAAGGTCTATTACAGTCAGACGACTCAGACAGAAAGCCGGCCCCTCGTGGCCCCAGGCATCCGTCGGAGGAGGGTCCTGACAAAAGACGGCCGTAGCAATGTGAGAATGGAGCACATTGCTGACAAGCGTTTCCTCTACCTCAAGGACCTCTGGACGACCTTCATCGACATGCAATGGCGCTACAAGCTTCTGCTCTTTTCTGCAACCTTTGCAGGCACCTGGTTCCTCTTTGGTGTGGTGTGGTATCTGGTAGCTGTGGCCCATGGGGACCTGTTGGAGCTGGGACCCCCTGCCAACCACACTCCTTGTGTAGTGCAGGTGCACACACTCACGGGAGCCTTCCTCTTCTCCCTCGAATCCCAGACCACCATTGGCTATGGCTTTCGCTATATCAGTGAGGAGTGCCCTCTGGCCATTGTGCTTCTTATTGCGCAGCTTGTGCTCACCACCATTCTGGAAATCTTCATCACCGGTACCTTCCTGGCAAAGATTGCACGGCCCAAGAAGAGGGCTGAGACTATCCGGTTCAGCCAGCATGCAGTTGTAGCCTCCCACAATGGGAAGCCTTGCCTTATGATCCGGGTTGCCAATATGCGCAAAAGTCTCCTCATTGGATGCCAGGTGACAGGCAAACTGCTTCAGACCCACCAGACGAAGGAGGGCGAGAATATTCGGCTCAACCAGGTCAATGTGGCTTTCCAAGTGGACACAGCCTCTGACAGCCCCTTTCTCATTCTGCCCCTCACCTTCTACCACGTGGTAGATGAGACAAGCCCCTTGAAAGATCTCCCCCTCCGCAGTGGGGAGGGGGACTTTGAGCTGGTGCTGATCCTAAGTGGGACAGTCGAGTCCACCAGCGCCACCTGTCAGGTGCGCACTTCCTACCTACCGGAGGAGATCCTCTGGGGCTATGAATTCACACCTGCCATTTCACTGTCAGCCAGCGGCAAATACGTAGCTGACTTCAGCCTTTTTGACCAGGTTGTGAAAGTGGCTCCCCCTGGTGGTCTCCGTGACAGCACTGTGCGCTATGGAGACCCAGAAAAGCTCAAGTTGGAGGAGTCATTAAGAGAGCAAGCGGAAAAGGAAGGCAGTGCCCTTAGTGTGCGCATCAGCAACGTCTGAGGTCCTATTCTCTCCTCCCCAGCCCTCTGGCCTTTTCCTCTTCTAGTGCCCTGGGAAAAGGATACTATCTGGGTCTGCTGGAGAGCCCTGGAAGCACCCATTCCCCACTTTCCCTTAATGCTGTGGCCTGTGAGTAGCCCAGGCCAGCTGCATCCTGTGTTTTCCCTCTCACTGTCCCCTTGCACCTTCCTCTACTACTCCACCAATGTACACGACTCTTAAGCCAGGACGGGGGAAGGTGAGGGAAGATTAAGCTGAAGTGGCTTGAAAGGCCTCAGCCATGCTTGGAAATTCACATTAGGACCATGTGACTGGATGGGTAGACTCCCCCCCAGCCACCTACTACTAGAAAGCCTGATGACCTGTGACTGGAGCTCCTTCCATTGGTGTCCATCTAGTAAGTTCCGTAAAGCAGAACTCTCTCAGAGAGCCACTCTGTGGTCTATGCCCTCAGAAACACAGGATCTGAAATCAGTTTTCTCTGGGCTCTCTACCAAATCCTGAAGAAGGCAGGGTTTGTCGTGGTGTTTGAATTTCAGCTGCTGACTCCTGACGTAACCTAGACTCTTGGTCACCACCTTATTTTCTGTTCTCAAGTGGATCTTCTCAGGATGCCCAGTTCTCTCTCAGCCTCTGTTCCCACAAAGCTGGGGCTGACCTGAGACACACGAACAGCCACTACCCTTCCTGCATCCATTCTGGATTCTGAGAAATTCAATTTTGGAACTATTGTCTACTACTCTGAACTTGTCCTTCTGGCAGTCCTGTCCTAGAAAGATTTGTTTTCCTGTTTCCTGTAAATGGGAAGACCTTAGCCAATGTGCCCCCCCCCCCCCATTATTGGAAACAGGGCCTCACTATGTAGCTCTGGGCGTCCTGGAACTCACCATGTAGACTAGGCTGGCCTGGAACCCACAGAGATCCACCTGCCTCTGCCTCCCATGTACAGGGATTAAAGATGTGAGCCCCTAATGCTCTCTTGAATAAGTTCAGTACCCAGCCCTCATGAAAATATCTAAAAGAACTCCAGATTACAGTGTACCTGGTTCCTCTGCTTCCTTTCCTACCAATCTCAGAACCCTGTTCCCTTAATCCAACCTTGTGAAGAAAGAAAAACACAAGTCATTTCCTTTCTTAACATCGATCTATTAAAACTAGTCACAGGACACAGATTCCCCAGGAAAGTTGCACCGACTTCTCAGATTTCCCGATTGCTGTACAGAGCCTCTGGAAGTCTGCGATGTTTTGTTAAGGTCTGGGCTGAAGCAGAACTCTGGCTGCCAGCCACTATTTTGTTTCATCTCCTGGTGCCCTTCTGAAAAGAGCCAACTATTTTGTGAGGCAATGCTGGGAGGAACTTACATTCTAATCCCAGCCATTCTGACACTTGGCATAAAATGATGAAAGTCAGTGTCGTCTCCACTCTCTTTTGCCTATGGGTCAGTTTCAGGCAAATTAAAAGACAACTTAAGGTCAGCCCCAATCCATTCCTAGCTGTTTGGTGAGGGCTGTGGCAGGGCTCAGGGAAGGACATTATACGCACTGTTCTGTTCTAAAGAGCAATTACACGTGAGTTCTGTCCACTTAGGTACACAGGAAATCCTACAAGATAGGTTAGCAGGAATTCTGGCAGGAATGATTGATGTAAGGTGGACTTGACAAATGATGACCAGCTGCACATTCATACAGGATGTATGCACATATCTCTGCGCAAATCCTTGCAGAGAAACCCAGAAGATCTTGAGGCTGACCCTATCTCAGCTGTGCCCAGTCCTCTTCTATTGGTCTTCTTCCCTTGAATTCAATTAACTAGCTTGAAAATGAAGATCCTCCAGTCTCTCCTTACTCACCATTATCCTCAAACTCACATCAAAACAAGAACCAGAAGAACCTGAATGTCTGAAACAAAGAACAAAAGGCAAGAGCTGGCTTCTGTGCTTTCAAACATATTCAACACTGCACTTACTTGATGGCATTGAGTGTGCAGGGACCAAGTGTACTGCTGTGTGTGCATCTTCTTGTCCACTGGCAATTTATCCTCTGTGTGCCTTCTTCTGCACATCGCTGCTTCCTTCCTGAAGGAATGACTCGCTTCCCAGTCCCTTTCCTAAGGCCCAACTCTCCTCAGATTTTTGGATAACAACATGAGAAGAGAACAATTTCTGCCTTAGCCCCTTTTGAACTTCCTCCTCAATCCTAGGCTTTGCTCCAAGTTGCACTTTAAAATCATTCTGTCCTGTTCATTCAGAATGATACCTTTTCCAACAATGGAACAACTCCCATCCCCAGCCTTAAGTGGTTCTTTAGATCACAGCCCAACTCCCGACCTGGATTCCTTTTTCAGGATATAGAAGAAGCTTTACTAGCAGCCAGGACTGATGAGAAACAGGTTCCCTGTCTGTATCAGCTATAGACTTGGAATGTCAAGAGGATAACAGGTGCAGATTTTAAGTGGGGTGCGAGAGATCAGGTGGGCAAAACAACCAATGGGGAAGGATAAGGATATCCAGAGTGGGAAAATGAGAAAGATGAGACTAAGGGACCTAGTGAAATGAAACCCAGAGTCTTACTTGTGACTGACACACAAAAGGTGGGTGGAAATTTGGGATAGCATATAAATGTTTATCTAAGGAAAAAAAAACAGAGATAATATATAGCTATATATGTATATAGGTGTACATATATCTAAATATACGGAATGTACAGAAAGGAAGTATTCAGACTTTAACAAAGGAAAAAATATCTTGCCTTGGTTTTGGGGAGCAGGATAACTGGATTTTCTGTGTTATAGTTATATGAGCGGTGAGAGTAGCTGATGGTTTTAAGTTTGATTGATAGAAAAGGGAAGTCTAGACCCTGCCCTTTTCATAAATAAAGGAACATCCATCAGGGTTTGATGAACTGTGCTGATAGGACAAGAGAGGAGCTAGAAGGAAATGGGGTAAGGAAATGCCCCACCCATGCAGATCTAGGAAAATCTAACACTTATACTATGTGCTACCTATCTCTGGCAACAACCCACCCTTGAACAACTTCTAAAACGAACAAGCAATCAAGAAAACACAAACAAAAGCATCCTTCTATTTTACTTTCTTGAAATACACTCTGCATTTTCATTTTTTCCACCAAGATGGGAACTGTCACTCTAAGCCCGTAACTGAAAACTGAGAAACTGAAATTTTAGTATTTGGGAAGCATTAAGTGGAAACCTTAATGCCAGAATGCAAATGCCAGGACTGATGAGCGGTTGCGCTCAAGAAACTCTCAAGACAGAGACCTAAGCTTATATACAGAAATCTTAAAAGAGGGTGCTTCATATATCAAAGTCTCAGTCTTGGCATGAAGGCAGATTGAATGCATTGGCTTCCAGGCTCTTCTATGAAAATGCAGAATGTGGCTTTCATCTTCCCCAGAGGATGATGAAGTTCTGTGAGAGGCTTCTGAAAACCCCAAACTACTTTCACTTGATTCCTGCTGCTCCCTACTGCTCCTCCCACTTCCTGAAACCCACATCAGCTAGTATCCCAGGGGTTTCCCTGAGGTCAGCAGAGAAAGAAAAGCAGTCATAACGTGGCTATTAGCCAGGTACATTGCACCTTCTCCAAGGCTTGGTTCCACAAAACTTCACCCCTGCTGGCTAATGTAGTTTCTTTGCAAAATAACACAATTACCTATGCTGTACAGTTAGCTGGGCTTCCAGGCCCAGTGTTGGCCAATGTTACTGAAGCAGAAGTATCTAGGGATGATTTTTCTACACATTGCATTAAAGACTAAACCAGGTCAAATGTATTTAGAAAAAAAGACATGTGAGGTATTTTTGGTTTATTTTTGTCTGCTCAGAACAAACTACTAAATAAACTGGATGAATCTCTTGTTCTCACTGTATGTTCTTTTAGTAATCAAAGCCTATCTTGTTATCAAGGTTTGAACTCACAGTCTGAGTTTTTGGAGAGGAGCACTCAGTTAGGCTCTGCTTTCCTGCTGACTTTCCCTTACACTCAAACATTTCACTAATGGTTTCACCCAATCCTTCACCAATCTTTTTCTTGCTCTCTCCCCTATTAAGATCCCTTAACAAATCAATTTCAAATTCAGTTTTTAAATTTTTGAAAAGCTGATTATTTTTTCTTTCCTTTCTTTTTTTTTTCTTGGAGACAGGGTTTCTCTGTGTGGCCCTGGCTGTCCTGGAACTCACTAAGATCCGCCTGCCTCCCTAATGCCGGCATTAAAGGTGTCTGTCACTGCCCAGCTGCAAATACACTTCTTAAAGGGCAAGATTTAATAAATACTAAGACTCAGGAATCTGCAAACTGGCTCAGCTAATTCCAGGAGTAAAACAGCTCTGGATCTGGGACACTGTTCCTTTTGGAGAGTGATTTTTTTTTTTTTAGTTCATTTTTCCTTTCACACTTTAGGAAATACTTTTTTTTGATGGTTTTCTTCAAATCTTCTCAAGGCTCTGGAAGCCCATTTTAATCATCAGGCAGTTTTAAACCCAATCTCAAAGTAATGGGCTTCTTATCTATTCTTACCTAGCATTAGTCTGAGAAAGTCGTGGTCAGTATCTAACCCCAAATACTCTGGCAAGAAATAACAGGTTACAGTCACTGACTTTTGGTACTTAACGTGCAAAGGTAAGAGGGAAAATTTGGGTCTCTCACCCTTAATAAATTGTTATTTAGGAAACACTACAAGTGAGTCATAAGATATATTAAATGTACAAGATGTATGAAATAACCAGATCACAAATCTGTAGTTCTTACACTCAGAAATAAGTGGTATAGGGGGCTGAAGAGATGGCTCAGTGGTTAAGAGTGCTTCTGCTGGCTATTCTTCCAGAGGTCCTGAGTTCAATTCCCAGCAACCACATGGTGGCGCATAACCATCTATAATGTGATCTGATACCCTCTTCTGGCATGCAGACAGAATACTGTATACATGCATAATAAATAAGTAAATTTTAAAAAAGAAATAAGTGGTATATATAAAAAAAACTATAACGAAATGTGAAGCAGTTAGCATATACTAATACAAAACGTTTCACAGGATCAGGCCCTAAGGCAGGGAGTGGCATTTGTTTAAGAACTCTATTTTTTGCAGCTTCAGGAAGAGGCTGCTTCATTTGATTAGTTGTTTCCTTATCTTCCTGAATTCAGTGTCTCTCCTACTTACTAAGTCAGCTATAGAGAGATAATAAGCTAAGGCTTTTCTGCCAAAAAAAAAACAAACAAAAAGCCTAAAGCAACCTACCCAGACAAAGCCTTAATATTCAGACATCTCTCTCATATTCTCTACCGAGACTAAGCTTCACTTGTCTATAATTCACAAAGGAAAATAACAAACCAGAGACATAAAGAAAACAATGAAAGAATATCAGAAAGACTTGAAGAAGAGAGGAGAAAAAGAAATAGAGGGAAATTGGAATTCTAAATGAGCATTTTATTTGCAAGTTTAGGACAGAATGATTAAGATATCCTGGGCTGGATAGACCTACTTTCAATTTCAGTCCTGCTACTACCTATGTGACTTATTTACTCTCCATAAACTCTGATTGTCTCAAAAGGCAGGGATATCTACTTTATATTAAAAAAAAATAGTATGTCTGACAATCGTTAGGAAGTCCTTAACAAACAACTATTAAGAACTACAACGGTTATTTGAATGGTAAAGTGTTATCACGGTATATAGGGCCAATGTGTGATGAGAAATGACTAGAAGTAGTGATTAATCTACACCATGTAATTACGTCTAGGCATATTAAAGGATAGAAATATCGGAATATGACTGTAAGGTTAAGAGGGCTCATTCAAAGGATGAATGCGAAGTGTGGGGTGAGAGACACATGTCTAGACTGAGTGGAGCCACCTCTATACTTACCTAGGCGCAGCTAAATTTGTAAGATCAAGCCAGACAGTTTGTGTCGGTTACCATGTGCCTGAGACTGTAACAGATTACAAGACGTACAAAGAAATAGACACTTCCTACTCTCGAGAACCCTACAATTTAGTTGAAACTGAAAACATTAAAAAATAAAGTATAAAGTTCCTACGAGCAGATTTTTCAGTACCGTAAGAAACAAGAAAAAAAGAATGAAAGATTCGGAGTCCTTGGCAAGAAATTAATGGTGTCCAGGCGGAACGGGGTGGGTGAAGGCCAGATTCTGACCCCCGTGAACGATGCTTGAAAAGAACGGAGCTGACAGCACTCCAGGGATGACAACCTACACGTATTCAGGTACGAGGAACCTTCCCATCAGGGAGAAAGAAAACATGAGAACTCTTTTAGGCTTATTTTCTCTCCCTCTATATTTCCCACTCTCAGTCCTCCAAGCCAGTTGTGCGGGATGCAGCAGCAGGTCGCAGCTCCCTCGGCGTCACGAGTCCTCCTCAGCTGACCCCGGCCGGGAACGCCGAAGAACTGGTTACTAAAAGAGAAGGTTTACCCAGCTCCACTACGCCTCAGCCACTCCGGGCTTTCCGGACAGCGGAAGTGTCTCCACGAGGGGCCGGAAATCCCGCCTCTCTCGGAGACCCTGGCTAGACAGCCAATCCCGAGGAGAGTAACAGTACCGCGGAGAAAGCTGAGACGCCGCGCGAGGCCGGAAGTGGTGCGGGGGGACGGAAGTGGCCATCCCCGGCTGTTACGGTGGGCGCTCCAGCCGAGGAGATGCTCCGGGCAGCCGAGTAGAGGGAGTCGGAGGACGGGGTCGCGAGAGGGGCGCGGTGCGGACCATGAGCTACGCCAGGCACTGGGGGGAATGGTTCCTGAACCTGCGGGTGCCCCCCGCCGGGGTGTTCGCCGTGGCCTTCCTGGCCCGGGTCGCCCTGGTGTTCTACGGCGTCTTCCAGGACCGGACTCTGCTCGTGAGGTACACCGACATAGACTACCACGTGTTCACGGACGCCGCGCGTTTCGTCACCGAAGGGCGCTCCCCTTACCTGAGGGCGACGTATCGCTACACCCCGCTCCTGAGTTGGCTCCTCACCCCCAACATCTACCTCAGCGAACTCTTCGGCAAGTTTCTCTTCATCAGCTGCGATCTCCTCACCGCCTTCCTCCTATACCGCCTCCTGCTGCTCAAGGGGCTGGGGCGCCGCCAGGCCTGTGGCTACTGCGTCTTCTGGCTGCTGAACCCCTTACCCATGGCGGTGTCCAGCCGAGGCAACGCGGACTCCATCGTCGCCTCCCTGGTGCTTACGGCCCTGTACTTGATAGAGAAACGACTCATCGCGTGTGCCGGGCTCGTCTACGGGGTCGCGGTACACATGAAGATCTACCCGGTGACCTACATCTTCTCCATAGCGCTCCACTTGCGGCCCGAGCGTGACAGTGACGAGGGTCTCCGGCAAGCCCGGTACTCCTTCCAGGCTCGTCTGTATGACTTCTTGAAGAGGCTGTGTAGCTGGGCCGTGCTGCTCTTCGTAGCAGTTGCAGGACTCACGTTTTTTGCCCTGAGCCTCGGCTTTTACTATAAATACGGTTGGGAGTTTTTGGAGCACACCTATCTTTATCACCTGACCAGGAGGGATATCCGCCATAACTTCTCACCGTACTTCTACATGCTGTACTTGACTGCAGAGAGCAAGTGGAGTTTTACCCTGGGCCTGGCTGCGTTCCTGCCACAGTTCATCTTGCTTTTAGCTGTGTCTTTTGCCTATTACAGAGATCTTGTCTTTTGTTGTTTTCTTCATACGTCCATTTTTGTGACTTTTAACAAAGTCTGCACCTCTCAGTACTTTCTTTGGTACCTCTGCCTTCTGCCTCTGGTGATGCCACTAGTGAGAATGTCTTGGGAAAGAGCCATAGTCCTCTTACTGCTCTGGTTCATAGGGCAGGCCTTATGGCTGGCTCCTGCGTATGTGCTAGAGTTTCAAGGAACGAACACCTTCCTGTTTATTTGGTTAGCCGGTTTGTTCTTCCTTCTGATCAACTGTTCCATACTGATTCAGATTATTTCCCATTATAAGGAAGACCGCCTAACAGAGAGAATCAAATACGACTGATGAGTCTTCTACGCCTTCGGCAACCTTCTGGAACATTCTGATTATTTTGTGTGGACTAGAAAAGCTTTGGAATTTTTTTTTCCTCCCTGAACATTTTAAGCGCACTACTGAAAGTTCCCTTGTTCCAAAAGAAATTAAAACCAGTGTTGGCCTTATATATAAAGGGGCTCCAATAATTGAGGCCCACACTTTAGAAAATTTTAGTACTCAGTTTTGTAATGAAAAGTAAAGATTTCTTGTTTGACAGTTGGAAAGCTGATGAAACTAGAAGATGCTAAAATATTTTTCTACAGTAGAGAAATAGATATTAGGTCTCCAGCAGTGTTTGTTCCTGTTACACGGGGCCATTGCTTCAGCCCCTGCCTTTTGTTTCTGACAGTTGTGAAAATTTACAATGTTCACAAAGTACAACATTTTTACATATAAAGTATTAACACTTTCGTTGCTTAGTTGGGAAAGTTTATATTTTGTATTAAATGTGGGGTCTTAGAAGAGGACTAATTCAAAAAATTTAAATTGTGATCATGTATTTCTCTTTTTGTAATTTAGTATCAGCAGTATTTTATACAAAAAGATTAAATTTAAACTCATCCATCTTTAGATCTGAGTTTTTAAAAAATAAATCAAACACTATTATCCCTTTTTTTAATTGCTGGAAAGATTTTCCATCTAGAATTTAAGCAGAATATTATTGTCTTGTAAAAGTAATAGAATTTAGATGATAAATCTTAAGTTTTGGATAAAACTTCATTTGCTCTAATCTGGTTTTATCACTTAAATTGTTACATTGTTGATAAGGCATCTCCTAGCTTAAATCCTACACTGAAAATACTTGAAATACTAGAAAAGACTTGAGGGAGACTCCTGTAAAGCATAAATGGCATCCTTAGGACTCACTGGTCTAGATCATCAAGAGGTTGCAAGGGATTTGAAGAATTCCAGAAATGAGGCTTCAGTGAGCAGGCCCTATACTATACTATTCCTTGGGGTGGGGGTGGGGGTTCGGGTTCTCAATTGTATGAATAAGTATCCTAAAGTATTTTTGGAAAAGACAGCCCATCTAAGTTGAGAGTGTCCTAACATTCAAAGATGAGTAGCAGTAGATCACTATGATTTTGAGGTCATGATTTGGAAAACAAAAACAAATTGTTTTTCCAGAGTTAACCACAACAAAAAAACTCCTGAAAACAAATACTACTCCAGAATTTTTTTTTTTTCCCCTCTCAAGGCAAGCCTAAAAAGCCTTTGAGGATAAAATATTTATAGGCTGATCATAATTAAAAATTCTATTACTGGCAGCATTTCTTTGCTGGATTCCTTTTGGGATTTGGCCTTAGAAAGAATAGGTGGCTTTTCTGTGGCTGGCTGTGTGTAAGAAAAGTGGTCAGTTGTAGAAAACAATAACATCTAAAATGTCAGTCCTATATTCATTAGCTCATAACTTAACAGCTCCTTTCTTAAGACAGTTTAAGTAGTGGCTTTCAAATTATGGCACGTGAACCTTTTACAATCATACAGTTACAGGGATTGAAACCTTCAGCGTTCTAGGCAGAGCACTCTGCCACTGAGCAATGTGTCTGGCCTCACGTAAAAAATTGAGGAAGGAAAATATACTTTGTGTGTTTGTGTACATCGGACTTCTTTTGTTGTTGGTCTTTTACACAGTCTTGGTTCAGGCTGGCCTCAAACTTAGCTCGCAGCCTAAGATAACTTTGAACTCCTGATCTGTCTCATGCCTCTACTTCCCAAGAGCTGAGATCACAGTTCTGTGCTTAACTCAGGAATTCTTTATCAAAAAACCCTGAGACAGGGTTTAGTGTAGCCATGGCTATCCTGGAACTTACTCTGTAGAACAGGCTGGCCTCAAACTCACAGATCTGCCTCTGCCACTGCTTCCCAAGTGCTGGGATTAGTGGTGTATACCATCACTGCCCAGCCTTTGTGTTTCTTAAGAAGCAGAAGATATTTTGCAGTTTATCTGCTGCAAAACATTTTTTTTTTTATTTCATTTATGTGTATGGGTGTTTTGCCTGTATTTCTGTGCACCATGTGCATTCCTAGTGCCCAAGAATTCAATTAGGGCATTGAATTTCCTAGAACTAGAGTTACAGATGGTTTTGAGCCGTCAGGTTGTGCTAGGAATTGAACCTTAGTCCTCTCGAAGAGCAACCAGTATTCTTAAGCACTGAGCCAACTCTCAACCCCATGCTGCAAAACATTTAACAAGTTAAATGGAGAAATTACTTGGTTTGGTCTCTTGGGTTTGACTTTTGCTTTGCAGCGTTTTTAATTTGTATTTGGGGAAGAGGCACGCATACCACAGCCTGTGTATGGAAGTCAGATGCACCTGTAGACATCAGAGGACAATTTGTGGTAGTCCGTTTTCCTCTTTCCACGGTGCTGACCCTGGGTATCAGATTTGGGTTATTAGTCTTGGCAGCAGATACCTTTTCACACCAAGCCATCTGATTGCTTTGGCTTCCTTTCGTTCATGTTACCTTTTGTTTCCTTATTAGTCCTTGAATAGTACTGTAAGTTTGTGTAGCTCTCTGACTTATTTTCTCCGTAATTCTTTTGTTCTTATTCTACCTGCATCATCTTTATGTCACTGTAGCAGATGTGTAAATCAACTTACAGAGAGAAAAGGTTTATTTGGAGACATGGATTTAGAAGTTTCACTTTGAGATTGGTTGGCCCTGTTTCATTAGGCCTGTGATGAGGTAGCATATTGTGGCAGAGAGCACACAGTAAGAACAAACAACCGCATTGCGGGTGCAGAAGACTCGAAGGAGGGATATGGGCCTCCCAGTTCCAAGCCTTAAAACGCCCCCGATGGCTGGACCTGAAGTTTCCACAGGTTCCCAGCAGTGCCGCTGGCAAGGGAGGAAGCTATTAACACCTGGGCTGTTGTGGGAAAAACTCAGGTCCACAGTACAGCATCAGCCGTGTAAGACAGACCAATTTGCAGGCAAGCATTATTGAGTGTCAATCAAGATAGGTTGTGGGATAAACAGCACTGTGTGTTTTCTTCTCTAACTGCTTTTCTGATGTCTCCAAAATGTCCTTAAAGGCCTCAAGTTAAATTCCCTGTAATAGGATCATTATTGTCTGTTTTGTTTTTTAGTTGTAAGATATAGGGTCTCATAGAGCCCAGGCTGGTCCCAAACCTGCTATATAACAGGGGCTGGCCTTGAACTTGCATCTCTTGAATCTACCTCTCAGGTGCAGGGATTAACAGGTGTGCTGGATAACACCTGGTTTGGATTAGGGTCTTTGGAAAAGCTGTGACAATCATCCAGGAATGTGCAACTCAGTAAAGAAAAACCATAGATCTCAGTTACTGACTTCCCGCTGTCTGGATTTTGTAATATGATGTTTCATATGTTGTATAAAACTTGTCCTTTGGTTAATTTATGGCTGAATATATTATTTTTTTAACGTCAGCTGTTGTTTTATATTACCACCTACACTTTTGCCATCTGTGAGTTACAAATAGAAAAAAATGCGAAAAGTTCTACCTGTGGTAGTCTTTAAATGCAGTCTCCTCTCGTCCCCCTTATGTTTTATTATTTCTGTGTGTGTGGGCCTGCAAGGGTGCATCAGTCTTGGATATCATTCCCCAAGCACCGTCCATGTTATGTTTTTGCTTTTTTGGAGTTAGCTAGATTGGCTAGGCTGACTGGTCGGTAAACCCTAAGGATCTGCCTTGAAAGCATTGGGATTCTTTTTTTTTTTTTTAAGCTTTATTTATCTTTCATATATGAGTGCTCTATCTGCATGTACACCCACACGCTTAGAGGGCATCATATCCCAGTATAGATGGTTGTGAACCACCATGTGGTGGCTGGGAATTGAACTCAGGACCTCTGGAAGAGCAGGCAGTGCTTTTAACAGTTGATCCATCTCTCCAGCCCAGCACTGGGATTCTAAGTATATGCCTGCATCTGGCTTTGTTGTTTTTGTTTGTTTTGTTTTGTTTTCTTTAAACATTAGCCATACTTTTCCTAGTCTAAACAGAATTGGCAAGTAAGTAACCTCTCCTTTCACCAGAGCTGAGCACCTACTTTTGTGGATAATTCCGTCTCCTAAGAAAACATAGAGCATCACCCTTGTGCTTTATGGCAGACTTCAAGATGAGAGGAAATACATCTTGGGTATCTTAATATCCATCCTTTCCTCAGTGACAAAAGTTGCTTTACAGACTTTGTATCATGATGATGGTTTTTCATTATTAATCAATTTACTCTGCCACAGCTTAGTTTTTATGACAACACTTCAGATTTGGTGTTTGTACTTAGGTTTATTGATGAGCAAAGAAGTTCAAAGATTAAATGACTTGCTGATAAATGACAGCAAGAACTAGAATTTTAACTGAATTCTTTTGATTGAAATAACATGCGCTTTTTACTGTGTTGTAGTTTTTTTTTGTTTTGTTTTGTTTTGTTTTTTGTTTTTTTTTCAGAGTTCCCAGATCAAGCAGAAGATTTCTGCAAAATAAATGGGACTCAACACTTAACCCTGGCAGATGCCATGCCAATCTGTTTGACCTTCCTGAGGTGTGGTTGTATAAGGAGCCGTTCTTAGGCTGCACCCAGTTTCTGGTTGTGTGTGTTTAACTTTGTTTTGTGTATTGAGTGTTGTGCATATAGGTATACCTACTGTGTGTGTGATCAGTGCCCTCAGAGGCCAGAAGAGGATGTTGACTCCTCTGAGAATGGAGTTATAAGTACTTGTAAGGTGCTGGGAACTGAATCCAGGCCCTCCAGAGGAAGAGCGAGGACTCTTAGTCCCTAGGCCATTCCTGGTCCTAAACATTTCTCTTAGTTACTTAATAGACATTTAGTAATTTTCTCACATCCACTCCTCTCTTACTTATTTGTATTATATCTTTGTTACTGTCCTTTCCCTCCATTCACTTGGCCTAAGAAGTCAATTAATGAATCACATTTTAGCTAACTAAATAAAGCTGTATGTGATTCTAATTCCCTCAGTTTATTGAATTTCTTCTGTGGCTGAATAAAATTGCAGTGTGTGCATATGAATCACATTTTCTTTATTCACTGGTTCTACTCAGGTCATTGTAAATTGTACAGCAACAAACAGAAATGAACAGTATCTGTGGAAGCACTTAAAAGTCCTAATTTGACTTTGGAACTAGCAGTGGTATAGCCGGTTCCTATGGTAATGTGGTTTTTTTTTTTTTAATTTTTGAGAAACCAGCACAGTAGCTACCCCAGCTTACTGTCACTGGCAGTTTACATCTTCACCTACATTACTATTTTTGATTTTAGCTGTTCTGACAGTGTACATGGCAATGTTCATTTATATGGCTAAAAGAATGAGCATCCATGTGGTTAGGAATATGTCCCAGGCTGATTAATGCCATAAGAGAAGCCTAGATCACACAGCTTAGGTCTAGCTTTTGAACAGGATCTTCACATCTAGATACATACATTGTTTTCCATCTGTGAAGTGGGGATGAAAATATAATCAGAGAATTGCTTGGTAAGAAATTAAGACAGACATAGTGGCACATGCCTTTAGTCCCAGGACTTGGGAGGTGGCAGCTCTCTGTGAGTTTGAGGCCAGCCTGGGCTACCTAGCTCCAGCACAGCTACCTAGTGAGACCCTGTCTTGAAAAAAAAAAAACAGTTAAATTAATATGCCCAACATTCATCTGCTGGCACAGAATAAGCTACTAAATATTGAAGGCAAATATGTAAAGAAAAGAAACAATAAAACCCTCTCAAATCTTACTGTCAGTAAAATGGGCTAATGAACTGCAGATCTCAAAAGAAGAAACAAACTGAAATTAGGGTTAAAACTGTTGATGTTTGTCCTCACCCTCATCAGAGTGGCTAAAGTCAAAACTAATGCAGGTGAGACTAAACTGCTAGTGACAGTAAACTGGGCCAGCTACTGTGCTAATCAGTATAGGTTTCTCAAACAACAAAACTCAAAATACAGCCACCATAGGAACCAGCTCTACCACACCCAGATCCAAAGTCAAATTACAACTTTGATACTTTTTCATTTCTATTTAATGCTGCAGTTTACAATTATATGAATGTATACACCTTACCCTTGTTCATTCAAATGCTGATTTCTCTTCCCCACTCTCTAGTTTCAATCAGGACATTGCATTGTGATACTTATTCTAAGCATCACCTGTCTCAGCTTTGTGAAAACATGCCAAAATAAAGCAACCAGCCATGATGTTGAGCAATGGAGAGGAAGGAGTAGGCAGGAGAGGGGAGGAGCCAGAGGACAGGAAGGAGTGGGAGGCAGAGGAAAAGAGAGAGCAGAGGCTGGAGGAGAGGTCTTGGAATGAGATGGAGAGATGGACTGGACCTAAAATATCACTAAAAGCAAGTATAATGTGGGAAATCTAAATGGTAGGAAACTATGTGGGCTTGGAGGTTTAGGATGGAATAACTATTGCCCAGCATTCTGATCTAGGTTAATTAAATAAATCCTGGTCTCTGTGTGGTGATTTGGTTAATCAACCATTTAGGATTAACCATGGATTTACTGAAAGATATATCAATACTAAATATTAAATGCCATCTACAACATACATGAGAATGGAGCTAGCAAATAAAGAAAATATGATACACACACACACACACACACCAAAATTTTATTCAGCCAGAAAAGTTATGACATGTACAAGGGAAAGGACTGAACTGGAATTATAGGTATATATTATGTGTGTGTGTGTGTGTGTGTGTGTGTAGATGGTGGGATGAAAGGAAGGGATTCTAGACTTCCAAAGGAGATCCAGCCTTAAATCTTTGTAGGTGTTTGTTTTTTGTTAAGCTGCCTTCTTTTGTTTGTTTGTTTTTCTTCAAGACAAGGTTCCTCTGTGTAGCCCTGGCCACCCTGGAACTTGCTCTACATCAGGCTGGCCTCGAACTGAGATCCACCTGCCTCTGCCTCCCTAGCACTGGAATTAAGGCATGCACCACCACTGCCCAGCTTTGTTAAGCCCTCTTAAGTGAACATAAAAGCAATGGGTTTCATTCTGGCATTTTCATAAATACTTTTTTGTGGGTTCCCTCCCACCCTTTCCTCTGCTGCTGGTCTCTTTCCCCCTAGAAGCTCTTCTACCTTCATGTCACTTTATTATTATTATTATTATTATTATTATTATTATTATTATTATTATT